CCATGCATCAGTAATTTGCCTAATGAGGTTGGCCTGCATTGTTCTGGAAGGAGGCGAAATGCTGGTCGCCTCCACCACCGACTCCCTTTAATCTGATAAACTTCCTCCAGAGGACAGTCGAGACGTCGGGAGGAAAAAAAAAAAAAAGAAGAAATCCTTGTTAATCAGCCAAGACGGGGGTGTGATTCCACGGGGACCGTGCTGCCAATTTAGGAGCGCTGTCAAATGTCCTGTTATCGCTGTGGGAGGGAGGAGGCTGGAAGCGGAGATGGCAGCTGAGTCCGCCACGCCGGGTCTGTGCTGAGCGCCCGGAGCGTGGGCGCAGCTCACGTGGGGAAAGTCGAAGCCCCTCCAGCTATGAAAGCATCACTGACTCCCTTGCGGTGTCCTCCCTGACGTGCCTAGCTGAGCACCAGGGACAAACTGATGGGGAATACTTTGCCCAAGTTGTCCCTTGTCTAGTGATGGTGCAGGTGGCCTGTTCTCCATCCGGCCCCTTGGTCATCATGAGCCCCAAGACTCTCCATCTTCCAGCCCATTTATGCTTTGCTGGGGATATGCAGGACAGAGCTCCAGCGTCTCCGATTGCTCCCTGGCCCTGGTCTCTGCAGCTGCGATAAGCAAACGCAAGCCAACCTGGGCCTGGCGATCAGTGCAGCTGGCCCAGCACAGACCTGGGTTAACAATCCTGCAATCTGCCCAGCTTCACGGGCAAGCGTCAAAGCCAGAACAGGAGCAACGGGCTCCTGAGGCGACACTGCCAACCGCACCGATCCGGGAATGTAGCCCTAAGGTTATCGGCTCTCTGGAAGAGGGACTCTCTCCTTTGTTGCGTGCCGAACAAAAGGGGACCTTTGAGGGTACAAAGCACCGAACATCTCAGTAGTAAAATAATAACCGGGGACGAGCATTAATTGTGAATCCCCTGGTTCTGGTGTGCTTGTAACCACCTGCAAATCAACAGCCACCTTCTCCATAACTGTCTCTTGGTAGGGACAGAAATGACACATGAATCGGTATAATTCATCAGAAACTGGGTCAAAGCTGTAACACAACAGACGTTCAGTGCATATAAACTGCTTTCAAAGTGGCCAAAACCGCTTTAAGATAAACCCGGATGGATGCAGCAGACTGAACTGATTGAGGTTAAATCGGTTTATTGAACTTCTGTCCCAGGTCCCTGAGGGTGGTAGAAAATAAATTCAGACACCAGGACTGGGGACCTGGGAGATGTTAGTGTTGCTTTGTGTTACCTACTCAGTTGGGTTTGATAGTCCTCGTTTGGTGCTGGAAGGGATACCGTCCCGGTGACACTCCACTGCTGTCCCTAACAGGGACCGTGGCTCTGTGCCCCGTTTATACCAGGGACAGGCCCGGGGAGATTTAAGTGACTCAACCAAAGCCTCACAGTAAATCAGGGGCAGAGACTGCGCTAGACACCCAGGACTCCTGCCTCCCTGCTTCTTGCTGCAACTACCAGGCTTTGCCCAGAAACCTGCTTTGCCTTGAGCCGGTGTCCCGGTCCCTGGGAAGTAGCTTGTTCCCCCGTCCCTATGACGAGGTGACGTTGGTGGGTCCCTTCGGCGGCTGGAAAGCCCCTTCCCGAGAACAATGCCCCGCTTTGCAGGTGGAGCCTACGCTGTGAATGGAAGAGGTGTCTCCTTAATAAGTGCTTTGGACAGTTGGATTAAGTGTAGCACACCCTGACCAAGGGGAAAAAAGAGCCAGGGAGAAAGGAAGAGGCATCCGTGAATGCCGAGTGTCTCTCTAATGAGTCAGAAATAGGTTTTTGATCTCCTCCTGGCTTTGCAAAGGCTTTTGTGAATCTTGCCTGTAATTTTGTATTCATTGGATTCCGCCTTCCGTCATCTTTAAAACCCAAAGACTGGTGGGGCTCATTAGCAGCTACTTAAGTGTCAAAGGGAGAGCGAATCTCTGCAGTCAGGCGGAGGAACATTTACAGTGATCCTTGGATGTCGCTAAGATACCTGGTTGGGTATTTGGTTTTTTTCCCGGTCACCAGCCTGTCCCATGGGAGAGCGTGCAGAAATCACATTAGAAAAATGCAAATGCCTCCCCACAAACTGCTCTGGGAGAAGGACGGGGACAACGGAGAGCTCCCAGAGTGTGCTGCCGGTATGTTTTGGGACATTAGCGGGCTTGCCGGCAGATACGGTCCTGCAGCGGGTTGCCATCAACTCCCTCCCGCCGTGCTGCAGGAGTGCACCGTAAAGCTGCCTTATACTGCAGGGTGTCTCGACTGCTCGTCCACCCGGGTCCTGCACGGTTACGCCGCTAAACCAGCAGCCAATTTGTTTTCAGACCCGTCGTCACCTGTTTCAGGGACACCTTTTTATTCTGACTTACTTGCGTTCATTCCCTTTGCTTTGTCTTCATCTCAACTAGAAGTCCCATCGGTCTGAAGCCGGGCACTTGCTCTGCATGCGCGCGGACATTCGTAACCCGCATTATCCGAGACGCTACGACGGGGCCTTCTCCCGAACGCAAGACGCTCTCCCGCCATCCGCCCCTCGGGATGTGCCGGCTGCCTTGCTGGTGACCTCTGCAGAAGTTTGCTCTCAAAACCCCGTCTCTGAACCAAGCCTGCTCAAACAGATGGTACATCTCTGGCTGCCACAACCCTGACATTTAACGCAGGGCACTGTGAAATTCACTTTTCCAGGAGCTGCTGCTTAAACTTCAGTTAAAAGGCCCCACTATTCTCTCCAAAGGTCAAAACAAATGGATTCGCTGATTGGATTAGAGTGGCATAATGCTGGCATTCAAACCAGAAAGGAAACAGTGAGAAGTGAGATGGCCAAGGTACACCATCCGCTGCCTAATGTGCATTTTCCCAGGTGAAGATCGCCTCTTCAATTGCTAATCCAGTTGTGTGACTGCGGCCCCATTCCAGAGTGTTTTTAAAAGCATATTTCAGCGCACACAAAACAGCACAGATGTGACTGCTGCCAGGCAGCCCTGTGCTTTTCTAATTCCTCATCACTTGGAAACCGATTTCTAGGATTAAGGGTGGTTTCGCCTCTTTTCACAGCTGGCAAAATTCACCTACACTTGCAGGAAATAGTGTGGAAAAGCCCCAGCAAGCCGCTGGCATCATTGTGCCAATAGAAAACCACAACCATTTTAAAGGAATAAGCAGCAGAGGGTTAAAAGTGGGCGCAGCGAATGCTGGGGAGTACAAACACTGCTCAGAGAGAGAGAAGAGGGGGAAATCAACCTGATGAAGGGGCTGTGAAGGACTTAAAAATAAAAAGGCATGGATCTTCACCCGCCCCTGGGCAAGGGATAGGGATCAGTTGTGAACCGAGTGTGCTATAGACACGGCCAAAGCATGGACCGGCTCGGTGCCCGGGGAATTGCATCTTCCTCCTCCACAACGGCTTTTGCAATGTTTGAACTAGGATGAACGGGAGGAAAAAACCAGCCAGGAGCACGACCGAGTGGAGGGAACCAACATCTGGAAACGCCAGGACATAATCAGGAGGCTCCTTGCTCCCCCATCTAACGAGAGAAGAAGAAATGAGTGCCTGGAAGGAGAGAGGACGAGGCATTCATCAGCGATCGGGCTCTTCGGGGAGGCTGTCTCGGCGCGAGCGCGTTGCTGTGCCGTTGCCGGATAACCTGTCAGGGCAGATGTGTGGCTGGTGTGTTTCTGCTGGGGTATTTTTTATTCAAGTCAGCAAAGACTGTTTCTCTCGGTGACGTTCCAGGTCCTTTCTCAGAGTAAAATTAATTGCCTCCGGTTCAGATTGGATCCCTGGCTTGGCCAGAGGCTTTTTTAAGTTAAAGTTGTCTGGAAAGAAGGATCGTTGTCTGAAAATTAGGGAAGGGCTTTTTTTTAATCCCTGCAGTGGAGAGGCCACATAGCACGTAGCTTGGTGCCGTGGGTCGAGGTTGTCCAGTCGGTGTCAGTCCCTGCATCGCTCAGAGACGCGCGTCATGGAGAAGTGGGGCTGGTTGCAGAGGTGGCATCTAGTTGTGAGGCAGGGTCAGCCCTGCCCAAACCATCCTGTGCAAACCCATACTCTAACCTCACCGTAATCCCGCCAGCAACCCTGACACAACACCTGACCCCGCCACAGATCGAGCAGGGGAACCGCAGCGGCCAACGTCCTGCTCTGTAAAAGGTTGTTGGCATACCCTCGGGAGATCCCAGGAAGAGGTCCGTGCCCTGCACTAGAGAGTAAGGCAACC